ACTATGAAATGTGTCATTAAATTAATAATAATTCATCTACTCACAGCTGTGAATTTTAGTGCCTCTTCCACGAAAATCGTAAAAAGTAATCTTTGACAACATGCAAAGGCTCATAAATGCACACCATTTCAAAAGAGAAATTTCACTTCTAGAAAATATGATGAAGTTTCTCAGCAACATCGATCAAACAAATCAAGATGTGTATAAGAGACAATCATTGGGCTTAGCTAATACTAGCGTGTCGTCAACAAAACGAGTATAAAACTTAATAGTACCTGATTCAATAAGTTTAGGAACAATAGACTCTTCTAGTTCAGTCATTAAAATATTAGCTAAAATTAGGCCAAGAGGTGAACCCATTGAGACACCATCACACTTTTGGTACTAGTGCATATAAGCTTGCTAATATGGATAATTTTTTCATTCCTGATGATGACATAATTAATGTCGAAATATTGAATCCCAACACGATGGCATGTATTTCAATACTTGGAGTATGTATTATACTTTCTTATCTGAGAATAATCAGTGGACCTTTCGGTTTGTGGTTATCTATGAATTGCATATTTTGGTAGTTGAAGTACTGTATACTGTATGTAATTCCTCTACTTTGTTAGTGAAATAACGTTTTTAAAACTTGTATTTCTACTAACAAAAAATGTTTATTATTGGCATCTGCTGTAATTGTTAAAAAACAAATGCTTTTAAAGAAATTTAAAAAAAATCACATATTGATCTCAGTTCAAAGGAAAAAATAAAACTTATTTCTAAATTTACAATTTTCACCTATAAACCTCTTAATTTCACAAAAGAGTGGGTTCTTTTCCAAACAAATACGTCCTGCCTAATATTGTGTGTTTAGATTAGATCCTTTGATTTAACTTTGGAAATTGAGATCATTTTAGATGCTATTTCTGTATAAACTAATTTTCTTTTTCATATTACTGTAAACCTAATAGGTTTTGATAAATTTACTCTGCACTACGGAATTTCCAATAAAAAAAAGAAAATTAATTAAAAACACCATAGATTAAAAATAAGTAAGGCGTAACATATTTTTAATCTATGTTAAAGCATAACTATTTTTACATAATGAAATTTAGTAAATCAAATTATTATTTGTGGCTTTTATTTATTAAATCAATTAAGAACATAATCTCAAAACAAAATTTATGACAAGAAAGATCGACGTTTCGGGTCCATCATTGAACCATTCTCAAGATCAAGTAAATTGAAAAAACTAAAAACAAAAATACCAAGCAGTGACAGGAAGTAAGTAATTAATTTACATATCAATAGGGCCTAATGTGTGTGGAGCCACAGTGGAGCTAAGCAATAATAAGCCCTTCTTAGCAGATGACCTACATAAACAGTTTGGCTTTGACTGAATCAGTTTGTTTGTTAAGTGTAGGTTTCAGTTCTTTGATCCAAAGCATTTGTTTAATTATGCAATCAAACTCGGATTTGCACTTAGATAAAACCTTGAAATAATTAACAGTTTCATTAGCACTAATATAATGATCTTTTAAATGTTGTCCTATGTTACCTTTACTGTGCATAATCATTTCTTATTTAAAATAGAATTATTTAATCAATCAGTAACTTGTGTTTTTTTTTAATGAAATTATTGATTTTCTTTTAAAAGATGCTACCCAAGGCGAGACTTTTTTTATACCTTGTTTGACGAACTCGCTGACTATTGTACATTTTACTGTACTGTATATATGTATTCCTACTAAAAAGTTTCTAATACTAATTTAACAGCATCTTTTTTAACGCATGCAAATTCACTATTTTTTAAAAGTTGCTTTGTAAGTTACAGTATTGTAACAAAAACTAATTTATTTTAGTTCTCATATATGCATATTCTTTATGTTGATTTATTAATTAAATTTTTGCTACAGGGTATTTTACAGCATTTATTTATTATTAATTTTTTTTTCTTGAATTTATAATTCTGGGCCATTTTTTATTTCTTGATCAGTATTTAAATATTTGAAGATTAAAAAAAAATATATCATTTCTATTACCGAATTTTTCATTGGGGCCATTTTTACCTACCTGTCATATGGGGCCATTTTTACCGGGGCCATTTTTTCCGGGGCCATTTTTTCTGAGGCCATTTTTTCCGGGGCCATTCTTACCTACATTCGTCAGTGAGGTAGCGTAAGCTCTCATTCTCAGGGCAGATCTGATTGTGCTCTGGTGTCCGGTCCGGTCTGTGTGTGTGTCACAGAATGTGTGAGTACACACACTCCCCCTGCTTCGGCAGCGGGAACCCTGAAATGGGTGGCAAGTTGCTGTGTCACGCCTCTGTCACTGGTGGGAGCTACAATCAGTATCACCACTTGCACAGCACTGTTCTTTTGTTTTGGTACATCCTTTTATTGAAACGTGAACGTATCTCGAATGTATTTTTCATTATTGACAATAAAGTTCATCTTGTATCTTGTATAAATGGAATATTAAAATTGAATATAAATAAACAAGTAATTATAATACTGTACAATTTTATAAGTAAATTTATTTAAAAAAATTGTTAATTACTTTTGTTATACAGAGACTTGTCTAGTAATAATTTGACGCATATACACCCTGAGGCATTTGCTGAGTTGGGAAGTGTAGCGTACGTGTAAGTAGGACTACAGAAATTTAACACTTTAAATAATACTATACAATAAAGCTGGAAAATACCCACTAAAGACCAAAAAAAAAATTAATACTAGTTAAGAACCATTAAATATGTATATTCCTCTGTATTTGTGTGTATGATTGTGGGCGAAGAAGAATGTGTATGGAATAAATACATTTACCTATTATATTATGTGCATAACTAATTATGTAATATTCAATACGGCTATTGTTCGCGATCATGTGTACGAGTATGCGAAAGTTGGTAGAGTTGGTATGGGTACGAGTTGGCATGTGTACGAGTTAGCCGACACCCGTTCGGCATAGACTTTTGTACTGTACATTTTTATTTATGTTAGTTTTTAATGAATTAGTGTAGGCCTATAGTAATTGAATTTCCTGCATTTGCTTAAAAAATGCAATTTATTTCTGTAAAAGTTTAATATATCTGACATTTACTTATGCGGCAGGATACCATCATGAACACATACAAATATACTATCTTAAGACCAGTCATATGATGTATTTATTCGAAGTGACACAGCTTTGTTTTTTTTTTTAATTAATTTACAAAACAGACTGCGCATCGCTGCAGCAACTCAAGTTTTATGATATCTTTTTGTAGGATGAATTTCAAAGACAAGTTCAATAAAAGGTATTGATTTGGTCTTCTTCTATTAGGATATTGGATAGGCCTATATCTCCTATGAGAGTCGTATGGTTGAATTTGGTTTCGTTACTCTGAAACAACGTCAGAAAGTAATCGATGTGTTTTTTCTTGAAATTGTGCAATAGCCCAATAATTAACATGTTTGATTTCAACGAACTTGCTCATTCTTTTTGTCATAGGATTACAGTTTGCTGGAATAGTAGATAGTATGGCGGTAGTGTCCAACAATAGAATATTACGTAATCATAATTCATATTTATTTATTAATAATTTTATTAATTTTATTTTCCTCGTTAGGGTTGAAGCATATGAAGGGGGTATATGAGGGTTTATTGAAATATTAAAAACAAAAGGTGATATTAATTTAGTGGCGTTGTGTAGCGTGACGTGTTAAGTTTGTCATGTTTCCTTAAAATTTATAGTCCATGGACTATTGTGTGTTCTTTAGAAATTACAATGAGAGTAAAAATTGAGACAAAAGGGAGATAAGTCTGCCAGTGCTGGATTTACAGTCACAAAAGAATCTTCTTGCCCATTAAATTAATGAGGGTATTGAATTTGAAAACAAAAGGGTTAGGTTAGGGGATTATCGGTGACAGTTTGGTGACTGAAAATTTGGTGACTAGTTGCCCGGGTGAATGAGATTTGGTGACGTAGCGTGGAAAGGACGATTTCTATTGGCTTATGTAAAGAGCGCTTTCTATTGGCTCAGATGTGTCACTGACCGCTGGTGAGTCTATGGTTTGAATAACCCGCTTCTGACGTTATGTAATACCTTTATTTTCAAAGTGTATAAATTTAGAAAAAAAAAATAGGCTAAGAACATTAAATTAGTTTCAACTACATAAACTTTAGTGTTACTCTACGAATACCTATCCAAGAAGATGATGAACAGAAATTTTGCCGCTGAACAAGACCTTTCTAACTGGGATCTCGATGTTAACGGGGGTTTTCTATTAGCGATGGCGAATGATGTGGATGAACTGGTAAGTTATCAAATAGTTCTCATTTCCTTTTAAATTTGTTAGTTTTTGTTTTCGTTTTTTGAATACTGAATAGAATTGGTTTTTTGTTTTTTTTTTTAATTCTGAACAGAATGTATTTTTTTTTTCAGTTTAATTTTACAACCGATTTGATTAGAATAACCGAAGAAGCTGTAGAAGAACAGTTAGATAACGAATTTTATGAAGATGAATTGGTAAGTAAAATTTGTTTTCGCATCCACTCAGATTGCATTCTCTCCCTCCTTCCAAAACCGAAGTTACTAACCCGGGTGAATGGCAACCTCCAATTGGTGATTATTTGGGTGAACTAACCAATGAGATAGGGCCTAAAGATGGAAGATTTATTACTTGCTTTGTATCTGGTGGTCCTAAAAATTATGCGTATAAGCTTGACTCGGGAAAGACGGTCTGTAAAGTAAAAGGCTTCACTTTAAATTATCAGAATTCAAAAAAGATAAATTTTAAAACGGTTAGTTGTATGGTTAGGGGTATTGGACCAGATAAAATAACTACTACCGAGTCTAATCGTATAACTAGAAAGCCTAAATCGAGGAAAATCGTAAATGAAGCAACTACTAAAGACTATAGGATATTGTATATGATAAGAGAATAATTATTGATGATTACAAAACTGTACCGTATGGATATGTTTGGTAATACTACGTTGATAAAATGTTGTATCTGTATTGTGTTAGCCATACCATCGTACTCAGTATTGGTACTTCTCGTAAAGTGCAATACAAGCAAAAATAACACGTTCTGATTGGTCATTTAATTCAAGCCGATGCCCTATATGATATGCCCTACTAACAGTTTCATACATTTTACAACTACAATATATACTTTCTCTCTTTTCTTTTTACAGGCTTATTATTAATAACGAATTAAATAGAAACATACATAATAAATTTTTACTATCGCATCTATTTGTGGTGAATTTATTGTTGATTTCAGTCGTAGTGATGAATGGCAAACATAGCAATGATGACAAACGTGGAATTAATTAAGCCCTCTTTATTACCATATTATTTAGAGTTCGAGAATTAAATTATTTGAATGGTGTCAATTTGTTTGAGTGTATTTACTCCACTAAATGAGACTTAAAAAACCTAGTATACAAAGTACAATAATAACACTAAATATGTAAAACTTAAACCCTATGTTGTCTAAATTTGCCCGTAAACATGTTAGTAAAACCAACGACAGTAATTCTAGTCCACTTTTAATATGATAGAAATGGAGAAAATTTGATTATTTCTATCGTCGTGATATTATAACGAATACAGAGATCGGAATCGAGGGATTGACGGTATAAAAAATTACGGAGCCTAGTATACAGAGTACAATAATAACACTAAATAAATGTAAAACTTTAACCCTGTGTTGTCTAAATTTGCCCGTAAACATGTTAGTAAAGCCAACGACAGTAACTCTAATCCACTGTCAATATGATAGAAATGGAGAAAATTCGATTATTTCTATCGTAGTGATATTATAACAAATACAGAGATTGGAAACGTGGGATTGACGGTAACAAAATTTACGATGACGAACTTGGTTGTGGAGACTGTATCCACTTTTTAATGTTGCATATTCATCATGTAGCCATACCATCGTACTCAGTATTGGTACTTCTCGTAAAGTGCAATACAAGCAAAAATAACACGGCCTATTTTATAGGCCCTACTAACAGTTTCATACATTTTACAACTACAATATATACTTTCTCTCTTTTCATTTTACAGGTTTATTATTAATAACGAATTAAATAGAAACAGACATAATAATTTGTTACTATCTCATCTATATTTGTGGTGAATTTATTGTTGATTTCAGTCGTAGTGATGAATGGCAAACATAGCAATGATGACAAACATGGAATTAATTAAGCCCTCTTTATTACCATATTATTTAGAGTTCGAGAATTAAATTATTTGAATGGTGTCAGTTTGTTTGAGTGTATTTACTCCACTAGTTGAGACTTAGAAACCTAGTATACAAAGTACAATAATAACACCAAATATGTAAAACTTAAACCCTGTGTTGTCTAAATTTGCCCGTAAACATGTTAGTAAAACCAACGACAGTAATTCTAGTCCACTTTTAATATGATAGAAATGGAGAAAATTTGATTATTTCTATCGTCGTGATATTATAACAAATACAGAGATCGGAATCGAGGGATTGACGGTATAAAAAATTACGGAGCCTAGTATACAGAGTACAATAATAACACTAAATAAATGTAAAACTTTAAACCTGTGTTGTCTAAATTTGCCCGCAAACATGTTAGTAAAGCCAACGACAGTAACTCTAATCCACTGTCAATATGATAGAAATGGAGAAAATTCGATTATTTCTATCGTAGTGATATTATAACAAATACAGAGATTGGAAACGTGGGATTGACGGTAACAAAATTTACGATGACGAACTTGGTTGTGGAGACTGTATCCACTTTTTAATGTCGTAATTTTTGTTAATTTAGACAACACAGGGTTAAAGTTTTACATATATATAATTGAACTTTGTATACTAGGTTTCTAAGCCTCAACTAGTGGAGTAAATATACTCAAACAAACTGACACCATTCAAATAATTTAATTCTCGAACACTAAATAACATGGTAATAAAGAGGGCTTAATTCTCACGTTTGCCATCATTACTATGTTTGCCATTCATCACTACCACTGAAATCAACAATAAATTCACCACAAATAGATGCGATAGTAAAAATTTATTATGTCTGTTTCTATTTAATTCGTTATTAATAATAAACCTGTAAAATAAAAAGAGAGAAAGTATATATTGTAGTTGTAAAATGTATGAAACTGTTAGTAGGGCCTATCATATAGGGCCTCGGCTTGAATTAAATGACCAATCAGAACGTGTTATTTTTGCTTGTATTGCACTTTACGAGAAGTACCAATATGATATTTGAAACGCCTTTTTTACATATTTATTTATTTTAATTCTTTTTTTAATTGCTTTTATATATTTCTTATTTACAACCACTAACTAATACTATATAATTTAAATGGTGATTGAAATAACTAATTATATTTGTTGTAATGTTATGTGAATATATATTTAACTAAAGTCACATAGTATACAGTAACTAATCAAACACAGAGAAACGATTGCATCTTGTACTGTTTCAACGATAAGCAAAGCTTTTTATTTATTTCATCAATCAATAATACATACTTTGTAAATCATTATCATAGAATTTACATTAATTTACAAATAAAAAATATAATATTTCTCTTATAATTACAATAACTTACAATATATACAGCTTTTATATTTACACAAACGCAATACAGT